TTACGAACATTACGTATCGCGCCCGGCCGTGATTCATTTCAGGGATTGTCCTGCGCGAGAGGGTATGCACGATATGCACGATAATCCGCGCGAATTGCGCGAGATAACGCGCGCGGCGAGCGCACAATAAACGAACTTCAATTCGAACACGCCTGGTCCCGGCGAATCGTTGAATTCGCTTTGTTCTTTCGACACACATGTGCGGACTGATATCAGCGCTGCCATCCAGTCAGCGTAACAAAAAAAAGATGAAGTAATGACTAACCGCTTCTTGGCAGAAAAGGTGACGAAAAGTGACACTTTTTTGTCAAATTCTAAGAGTAACCAAGGCCATTTAAGCAAAAACTTGTACTAACATTTATGCTTACCTTCCCAGCTTTATCTTTGGATAACAACATATAGCTTGTTTTTTTCATGGTACAGTTTAAAAGTTCATAACAGAAGTAAAGATCAGCTTGAACGGTGCAATATAAGTAGGCTTTAGGAGCAGTTTTATTAAGAGAAACAGCAAAAATATACATGGAACGCCTATATTTTAAGAAAAACTCAGGAAAAAAATTATATATAACGACCCATTTCGGACGATAGTGAATTTTTTAGTGATTTGTCAGGAAAAAGTGACAAAAGGTGACTTAACTAATGGGATAGTAGCGCTGTGATACCTATACTTCAAATAAAAAAGGGATCAACATCCACCCAGTCCGTATTTTTTTGCGGGGAAATTTCCAAAATCACACATAATATATGCGATATTTCAACGAGCAACGAGCACAATTCACTCGGCTCGACCTTAGCGTATTTTTGGATCCCGAGGAGTCCTCGTCGTAAAAAATCTCGTCCCGAACGGAGATCTCCGCATCGAGGTGCCCGAAAGTTCGTTTCTTCGGCGCGCGACTACGTGTCCGCGTCGTGGGATCTTAAATCGGATCCGAGAGGGTCCGGACAGGTAGTCCGCGGAGATCAGGCCCGGGCGGTCGAGCGGCAGGAGAGACGAAAGAGGGACGGGGATCGGGAGGGCTTCCCCCGAGAGCGCCGGCGATGGAATGCGAAATCGTGGGTTCGGTCCAGGCCGTAACGCGATCTCGATCCACGGCGAGGAACGCGAGGTGGCCGGGAGAGCGAGCTTCGGGGCTACGTACGCACGTGTAACGGTACCTTCGCGAACGAGCGATTGCTCGATCTGATCGCCTCTCCTCTCTCGTATCGCGCGCTCTCTCGAGCCTACATGGCGCGTCATGTATGCCTGCGTGCGTGTTCCTCGGCACACACGCACGGGGGGGAGGCTTTTTCGCCGTCGTGCGCATTATTACACACGATAAAACTCACATCATCCCGCGCGCCTCTCGACAGAACTGGAAAGTGAACGACGAGCGTAGTAGTCGGTAGTGTCTGCGCGTTGCACCTTGTCGCCATCCTCGCGAGAGATCCGAAGGAAGGAAAGAGGAGCGCGCGCGCACGCCGATACTTTCTCTCGATCCCGATCGTTTCGGGTGAACGCGAAGATCGGCTCTCTCGCACGCTAACGATCGGTGATCTCGCTCAGAAGCTCGTCTCCCGAGACACCGACAAAAGAATATCGAAGACCCTCAGTCTTGTATATTTTAATTTTTGTAAAGGACCCATGAATGCTCCGGAGGTCGTTGAGGAAGAACGTTATCGATTATTTTTCGATATTCGATACAAATATCTGGACATTCAGTGTGTAATGAATGTATAATTTTTATAATTGATTATATATGCGTATTGATATATATATATGCGTATGCTATTTAGCTAATTACTATACATGAGAAAAATTCAGTTCGTGTAATTAAATAGACATTAGACTTAAATTCTCTATTAGATTAAAAACCCATTTATAATTGACAACCATCGCACGTTTTATCGCTACCCGATAAAAATTAATATCAACTTAAGACTCATGTTCTTCTCATACATAAGCAAAAATATATAATCTCGTATAAAGATAAAACTTATTTATATATGAGAAGAATATGAGTTGATACTAAATTTTCCCTGTATGTATGTATATATAAGGCTCAATAAAGTATATTAGATATTCTTGTGAAACTGCATTTCTGCAGTTTCACCTATGCTGATTTGACAGAAATTCACCGACAGGAGGTTGTTGAATAAACAGCAAAATTTATTATTACACTAAACTTCGTGCGCCAAAGGCCGATGGTCTTTAGTTATTAGGCACCTCGTGGATGCCAGAGACGAAGAACTCTCGCACGTTGGACGAGGTTTTTCTCGCGATCGCTGGTATTTTTCGACCATGACCAATGAAGGTGAGAAACGCCGCGACTGGTCGCGGCGATGGGTTTCAGGGCCGCGTTGAATGACGTACGCGGCTCGTACACGTCGCGTACGTAGGAGGCTGAATGAGACACCACCCCCGAGGCGGCTCGCTAGAGAACCCGAAGACCGTGTGACGATGACTGACTTAACTGGAGGAGCGGATAGATCGTCGGGGTCCACGGTATAAATAGCCGCTGCCACTTACCGTCAATTCAAAGCGAGCGCAAGTCTGTACAGTTTCTTCGTACGTACGTACAGAGGCTGACGCATCGAGCGACCACGACGACAAGCCGCTCGATGCTAACGCAGTGGAAAGAACACTCGTTCGAGAGAGGAAGACGGACGGCGTTTTTCCCTCGAGAGCAACGCGCTAGATTAACCAATTGATGACGTATGGGATGATCGTGTGGAAGCTCGGTGGAAACCCGTTAAGGAATAACCGCGACGATGCGCAATCTCTCTGCTGACCGGATCTTCGACGAATGACATTTATCGCACGAGAACAGAAATAGAAGAAAGGCATGAAAAACCCAGCCTGATTCCGTCTAGTTACTCTCCGAATAACCTCGAACGTCTGCGTGCTCTCTCCTTCGTCGACGCGAGGAGACCTCAAAGGCGTGAGAAATAACGCTTCCAACTTCAGATTTGCATCACGACGATTCGGCGCGAAACGCGACACCGCGACACAATACCGAGAGGGTCGTGATCCCCTGATTACGAAGAATGCCGTTAATCGTCCCTAATTTATGGGAGGGGACACTTTGAAGCAAGGGAGCCACGCGGCAGACGCGGGCCTCGCGGACGATAATTGCCATGCCTTTGTCGCTCGTCGAGAAACCGGCGGCTGCGTGCGATTGACCGCCGTTTTAAGCCTCGCGTCTGCGTGTCCAGTTAGATAGAATCGCACGAAGCCATGTTTTTCTTTTATCTTTATTTATCGTGCGACAAATGATCGTCGGATAGATCACGCGAGCAAACGGAGCAATCTCGGCTATTTCGAGGTCGGATGAAATTTTCGCTACGAAATCCGTAAGATCCCTTTTCCTTCGGAACAATCACGAAAATTTCGATTAAATTTTTATCCCGTAATCTGGGTAAAAGGGAGCTTACAAAGGGCGTTCTAAAAGGTCACTTCCTCGGCACACGAAACGTCAGAGGTGAGCGACGACGACGTTACTTTGACATCGCGGCGTTACTGACTCTTGTCACGCCCGGTCGACCGATCGATCGAGAATGAACGGATTATTAATACGCAACTCGCTATATTTATCCCATTGACCGTTCCTTCTTTGTACCGTCGAGTATTTGGGTTCGTATCTGACGTATCGGCGGGCGTGATATATCGATCGATGAGTCAGGGAGAGACTTCGACGTCGACGAGATACGGTCGATTTGTCAACGCTAATGGCGACGTAAGACGCAACAGCGGCGACGTCGTCGACGATGATAGCTCGGCATGCTCGGACGAGCTTTATAAAACCAAAGACGTCGTCTCGACGCCTCGTTAGCGGGTGGGGTTATTAAGTGCCTCCTCGTTAACAACGCAGAACGATCGTTAGCGCGGTAGGGAGCTGTGTGCCGGAACATTAGCTATTACCGCGCTCTATCGATATGTAATCTATGAGTAAAGCCACGACGATAATTGCCGTGAGCGCGAACGAGCTGCCGAGTCCCTTTTTTCTTCTCACTCGAGTATCGCGGCGAATGCTTTCCTGAAATTAGATAGAATTTCCCAGCCTCCGACGCCGCCTGCCAACTACTGCACGACGCTTCGATCACCGGATACGCGCCCGTGAGAAGCGCGTTTTAATCGTTCCTGCGGTTTCCCAGCTTTCTACCCGAGTCGAAATTTTGACGCTACTTCGACGCTCTTAAGGATAGTTAGCGTCTACTTAAATAATGATCTATCGACTAATAAATACCTATATTGAAGATACTGACACTTATTAAATTCTCTTTTGGATCTTTAATTCGACAGATTTAATTTTAACGCTACCTTGGACAAACTAAACAGCGGAAATGAAAATTCAAGACATCATCACGGCTAAAGTAGGAGTAAGTTATATCATTAGAATTGAAATCGAAACTATTTTGCTATCTTAGTTCCTATTGTGTTGTACACAAAAAAAAAAGTACTAGATTTAAGTAAATAATTATTTCAATATTTCTCAGCGAATTCTTACTTGGAATCAAGTAAATATTACTTGAATCTAGAAAAAAAAACTTGCTACATTTCAAGTAATATTTAATCCAAACTTAAATTTACTAAGGAGTTTTGGAATAATTATTCATTTGAATCTAATACTTCTTCTCTGTGTAGAATCAAAGGTTCATAGCACAGAGGCAAAATTTCGATTCGGAAAGTCCGTGAAGTCAGACTCGATATTAGAAATTGAGGAATACGGATTAGAATGTCAACTGATTTCGATTTGGGTTCTCCTTGCCCCGCTTGGTCAAGCTCCAAACTTCAATCCGCGATTCTCAATCTTGAATACCCAGTGTGACACAGGTGTTTTACGAAAACCCTGATTCGCAGGCATTACGTCGCGATCGACCGGCGAAGCCATGAACGACGTTGTTGGTGAACCTCACGCGAGGTTCACGTCGCACCGTTTAAAAGCCAAGCCCGTTTGATTCGGTCTACGTTACGCGGAGCGAACACGAAGATGATATCTGAGCCGTGCGCGGCTTCGCCTTACCTTGACCGTTGGAGTGATTCTGCTGTGGCGATTGAGGCTGGCCCTGCGTCAGTATAATTTGACTCTCGAGCTGCTGGAGCTCAGCTTGAAGCTCGTTCAGCTTGCTGTTCGCCTTCTTCACGATCATCGCGACGTCGGAGAGGGATTTGCGATCGGTCGCGACCTCCCTCAGCTTCTCCGCGCCGGCTTTAATCTTCAGCTCCTGCGGCAAGGTGAAGAGAGGCAAACATTAGAGAAAGAAAGACAGACGCAAATTCGCGAATGCCGAGTCGGACAAATGACGCGATCGCGCGTCACCGCGGACGACCGCGGGAAATTATTACACCGATAATTTATCATTACTCGGACTTATTCCGCGGGAATTTAATCGCGGGGACATTTATCATGCTCGACCTGTCGCTCGCCTGTAAGCGCATCCGATCCGCCGCTCCTTCGCGTGGCAAATGAGACGTAAAATTGCACACGTGCCCAATAATATACCTCTACGGCGTATCCTTCGATTCTATCGGTCGGTGCGCGCATGTAGTTACCGCAAATTTTCACGGTGTGAGTCAGCCGACATAGTATTTCCAACGTCTAAAGTGGAACGCGCCAGCCGCCGGCCGATGCATGTTGCGTCGAACGAAAACAATTATTTAGGGCGAGGTACTTCTTGTCTACAGAGAAGGAGAGCGAGCAAGCGAGAGAGAGAGAGAGAGAGAGAGAGAGAGAGGAAATCACGATACTTACATATCTGCGGGATCGATTGCCACGACGCTGTATAGCGTCCGTGTGAACCGAGAGAGAAAACTGCCGACATGCGCGACAGATATTACACGATGTGTAATGCGATCGTTTATGAAAATGCGCCGGCTTAAGAAACCCATCGTGTTACAATATTACAGGGCGACTCCATTTCACGGTGGATCTATTAACGGTGGGCAGCGGTTAGACGGCGTGAGAGAGTGTCTCGTAAAGGCGCGTAGCGAGTACCGGGAGATGGAACGGGAGGAGAGAAAGAGACAGAGAGCGAGAGAGCGCGGGAGAAGGAGAATGGTGGCGCGGCGGACGCGAAACTCGTTTCCAGTCGTCGCGAGTCGCAGAAACGGGCCACCCTCGACTCCCCATTCGCGGTGTGATATAGAGCGCGCGTCCGGCGCCCATCCGGAAACCGTAGATCATCGATCGCTCATTACGCGGACGGGGGAGGGCGTTGAAAGGCGCGGGGGAGAGGGCGCGAAAAATTTCGCCACTTTCCCACAGAAAGCGCGCGTTCCCGCGAACACCGCGGGACGTCAACGAGTCGTTTTCCGCGAGACGGTGCGCGCGTTCCCATCGATTGTGATTACGGAATCGCGGACTGGGCTAATCCCGCACGGGTGTACCCTCTGACACCCCTCCCCCGTCGTTACGACAGACGTCTATCGGTAATCTCTGTTGCTCGAGTCGCGAGATAAAAAAAGATATCGAGGACGAGAGCGTTGTAGCAGCGAGAAGCGAGATTAACTTTCGCGAACATGCAAATAATGAGTATTATATCGCGGTAATATCACCGAAAAGAAAGGAACAGAGAGAGAGGGATAAGGAGAGAGAGAGAGAGAGAGAGAGAGAGAGAGCGAGAACATTTAATGGGGTGAGTGAGAGAGGAAGAGCGGAGACGAAGAAAATGAGCAGCTACCGCGTGTACGTACATGCGCGGGAGGAGAAAAAGGGAGCTTCGGGGAAGCCGCGCGCGCGGTTCGAGACGAAGGGAAACTCGACATACCTTGCGTATTTCACGGCGTATGTGCTCCCGAAGCACGTCGAGACGAGCCGGCAAGGGCACCTGGTCACTGCTAGCCACTCCATACTTGCTGGACAGTTCGTAGAGAACCGGGTGCCTGATGTAATCGCCCTGAAACAAACGGCGAGCACGTTATTGACGGCTGTGACGCGGCGATCGAGAACGTCGCCGGTGATAAGCTCGATTAATCATCTTCTAATTAATTAGACTTGTTTTCTCGCTCCGTGCTGACCTCCCCTCCTTCGCTTTCGCGACGCGATCAGCGCGGATTTCGATTTCGCGGGACACCGATGCCATTCGCAGACGTGGTGCGCAACGATTCCACACACGGAGAAAAATAATTTTGAAGCCGTCGTTGCTGCTCGTGTTGCATATTCATTGCGATACAATTTTTAATCGGCCATTTTAATTAACCAAATCAACGAATTATTCGTAATTACACGGAAGGAAGAAATTAGCTGTTCATATAATACAAGTAAAACATAGTTACCAGACCTAGTTTTTAGCTATGGGAGCAAAAAACTAAGTACAGGGCCAAAAAAATTAGCTAAATTAAATAAATTTCAGTTGTATTATATGGACAGTTAATTTTTACCTGTGGGAGCTACTTCTTCTTTTCCGTTCAGAGAAGGAATAATTTTGTCGCCAGAATAGAAAATATTCTGCTAAGTGAATTTCTTAAGGACACGTTACGAGCGAAATAGTGTTTTCTTACGCTTACTAATTCGTTCTCCCAGCAAAGTGATTCGTAGATTCAGCAAAGTAATCCAGTGAATGGCAAAATTAGTATTCTTAACAAATCGTTTCGCCGTCCGCGTAATAACTAACAGATATTTGCGACAGCATAAAATTTGCCGCGTCAGCAAATTATTTCTCTCCGTGTACCTCTCTTCGCGCTTAATCAGTTCTTCGTCCGTCTTTCCTTCTTGTTCGCTTTCATAGAAAGCAACGGGCCAATCGGGCGAGAATAACTACCGATTTTAACGATATCGACACCGCAATTGTTTCCGCGCACCGGCGAGTTGCAGGTAATCGTTTCTCGGCGTTACGCGTAAGCCGGTCGCTCGATCCTCGCGCGTAATGATCGCAATGAGACCTCGCGTGCCTCAAGCTTGAGATAACAACCCGACGGAAATTGCACCGTAAATATCGACGTAAATATCGCGGCGAGGAGGTATCGGCCAGACCAACGAAACATCGCGGAACACTCGCCAACCGGAAATCGTCTGGCGCGCGCGGCGCGCAACACACGGATCTGCTCGACCAAGTGAAATACACGGATACGAAGACGCCAGATGAAACACACGAAAGGGGAAAGTGTAGATCCCGTGTATCAGCGCGAGGGAGAGAACGTCATCCGTTGCCCGCGAACCGGCGTCGACGTCATTTCGCGGGGGACGACGCGGATCGCGCGACCCGACAGTTCGGGTGTTGAAACATCCGCGAAAGGTGTTCGATCAGCTCCTACACAGTAAAAAAACATTTTCTACTTGCGTGAAAATCGGCCCTTGTTAAGATTGTTATGTTAAATTTGCAACACAGCCGTATGTTAAATTGATTATATTGTGTTTAAGTTACTTCAACATTTGGTGTTGCGTCGATATTCACGTATAAGTGTTAAAATAACACACGCTTCAGTGTCGATTACGAATACGTTAACGTATTAAAATATTGTGTTAATTGTTAACACAACATTTGTTACTTCTCAACGTATTCACATGGTGTTAAATTAACGCGAAAATTTCAGTGGACCGTTTGGGACATGTGGAATGTGTTAGGTTTAACACAAAATCTCTTACTGTGTGGAACGCACGTCGGTGTCACCTATTTCGAGCACGACGCGAGGGGGAACGTGACTCCGCGAGAACAAGGACGATCCGGATACCGCGAGAGAGAGAAAGAACAGCTCGATTTCGCCGAGAAGCGCGCGTTGATCGATCAATTTCTTATTTTCCTCAACCTTCTAACCGTGCCCGGGTCTTTGTCGATCCGAGTGTCCTCGAACAATTCCACAAACATGATCCACGTCACTTTTCTCGCAGCAGCGCTCACTCTTTTGCATATTACATCAAATATATTATTCATCGTCGCAAATGTGTGTCGGAGCGCTAAAGATAAGAATCACAAGGTCTCGTTGACAAGGTTCGCATTGACAATCCTTTATAACACTACGAAAATTCTCGAGGGATACCCCAATCGCAAAAGCTCGAGCGCGGTTAGACGGTTAACGATGCAATTTGGTGACGTACCGCGCAGGGCGCGATGCAAGCCCGGACGTACTTCGAGCTGGACACTTTGGTCAACTTTGGTATGCATTTGCACGCACCCGTCGACTTCTTCTTCGCTCTGCCCACGCTGATGAACGACATTGTTCCCGTGTCCGCGCGCGGACCGACTTTCACGGCCTAGGTAGAGGCCCGCGCACACGACAATATCGTCTGTTGTCTCAAAGCGCGCGTCGATGGTCACCGTGCGGGTCGGCCGTCGTCGTCGTCGAGGCAGCAGCGGCGGCGGTGACGACGAGAGACTTACATTTAGCGTAGAGAGAGAGAGAGAAAGAGATAATCGTTTCTAATAACACTTCACGCCGCTAAAATTCAACACGTCGGACAACAAGCAAACAAGGCCCCATCGCGAGAGTTCACGGTTAATCACCACCTGAATCACTGTCGTGGCCGGTAATCTCCCGCCTGCAACCGCGCGCAGGTAAACGTCAGCCACCTGTTGCGAAAATCTACGATATCGCCCGTCTCCGACCTCTCGCCGACTTTTCGCGACCTGTGTGCCTTCTCCGACACGTAAGCCTTGGTCGATTTGAGAATCGGCAATGACTAAGGAGAGACAGTGCCGATGTCGTTATCTCTTATCAGCGATCCCGATAACAGTGATGCTCAACCGCCAAAGCGTTCTCGTCGCCGCCTCCTCGCTGACTGATTCATGTTCAAGGAGGAAGAAGACGTTCCTCCTTCAAGGCAGGGCACACGCCCGGTGCATCTCTCGAATCGTGATTTACGCCCGGCGAGATTTACCACGACTTTAACAATGACAACCGGCTGCGTACAGATAACGATTGACCTCACGCTTTGTAACTTTTCGCACGGCTGTTTGACCGACCCCTTCTTCTTTCGTTTCTTCCCTTCGGCGCGGGATGGATTCAGCGGAGCAACGATATATTTGCACGTCTCTTTCTCTCTCTTGTTAAAGAAGAAAAGAGATTCCGCCTATATAACGTAACCGATGTTATCCGCCGTTAGTCGGAACTAACCGTGCGATAAGCGGCAGTCGAGGTGACTACTGAAGCGTACACGCGTTTCAAAGTCGCCGCGCGAGATTGCAACGTCTCATTCACGATTCGGCCGCGCGCGCGCGCGAGTTACGTAAATCCACTAACGTGCGTTGCCAGGCGGAGAGAAGGAATAGAAAATAACGAGAGAGGTCCTCGAGACCGTGCGGAGAGAATGAAAGTACATTTAGATATTAATTTATGGCGACGAAAAAGCGAGAAAGAGGGGAGGAGAAGGAGGGGGTAGCACGCACGCACGCACACACATCGCGCGATTTATTTTCATGCATTTTCATTCCGCGATATTTGCTCCACGGCGCACAATAAATTCCGAGAGGTCAACAGACGTCACGACGTCATGAGGCGAACCCTTTGCGCCCGAGCGATTACGCACGAGCCTCAGGAAACGCATAAATGAACGGTTCTCTGACTCACGTCAAGTGAGTCGAGCTCCCGAGAGGGAGAATTGTTTTTACTGCATATGCGAGTCAGTCGAGCGAACATGCGAGCGGACGAGTGCGAATTGTGACGTCAATTTTCGCAAAATCGCGTAATACCCGCGATAACGCCGACTTACCCGCAGCTCGCGTTATCAACCAATCAACGCTCATCGAAGGCAGAAACGGATTAATCGCGAGCGTTCCGCGAAAAGTCGAGCGTTCTCTTCCGCGACGTTGCATCCTGAGACGGGAACGCCATCGAAATTTATTGTTGTAAAGTTCCGGGGAAAACATGTTTTTTCCGATTTTCCCGCGGAAAAGTGGGGGGAAAAACGATTTTTTTCCAAAACTTTAGAACTTTAACTTAAACTATTAGAAAAAAAGTGGGCGATCAGGATTGCCACAGAAAGTGAATTTTGAAGTTCCCTGACTTTTCCATGTTTTCCAGACGACAATGGAGAATCTTCCACGAGCAATATTTAATCTTAAATTTTAACGTTTAGAAGCAGAAATTGCAGAGGAGGCATATTATTAGAAGCAACACAAACTTAAAAGTTTAATAACATAATATAATCCTGAATACAAATTCAAGCTAAATAAAATTAACAAATATTTGAAAAAGAATACAGTTGAGAACATTTAAAGGAATTGTGGGCAAATTTCAAAATTTCAGGGTTTTTTTATCTTTCTCCCATTTTTCCGGATTTTCCCTGATATTTTAAATTTTCATAACTTCTCCTGGTTTTTTAGGTCTGTGGCAACCCTGACAATGCACATCCTCGCACCTGTTATACCACCGACGTGAACTCTGCCAGTCAGAGGTAACGGAAAACATCGGGCGAGGGCGACCTGACGAAATCGTCGGTATTTCGCAGAATGAATTGTAGTTGAATTTAGTTACCATAAATACAACTTGCATTCGGAAAAGAGGAATTAGTTGTCCATATACCCGGAAAAAAAAATGATTAACTTCGTAATTAAATTGGGGGTAATATGTGGACACTTAATACTTTAGCAGCCGTAAGCAGTTTTAATTGCCGCAGTAGCAAACTCTTGCTGCTGCAGCAAACGTATTATCGCAAATGATATTTACAAGAATACATTTCCTACTTTTAAAACTACTTACGCTGCTAAAGTTTTAAAGTTTTTGTCTATATGTTATAATAATAAATGGTTATAATTAATTTAGCTACAGCCAATCTCTTTTTTCCGTTAATGCAACTGAAATTTAGTTACCACATCCGGTTTTTAGCTGTGGGATCTGGAAATTACACGGGGGAAAGAATTTTGCTGGAACAGCAAATTGTTAGTTACTGTAATGGCAACAAAAAGACTTGCTGCGGAAAAAGTAATTTGTTGTTGTAGCGAAAAATTCAAAAATTAGTTTACTTCTAACAAAATATTCGAACAAAATCTGTGTAGGCACAGATATAGAGAGAACTAGTTAATTATAATAACTACATTTCAGTTGTATCGTATGGACGGCCTAATTTTTACCTATGGGAAGCTACTTCTTTTTTCCGTGCGTCTTAGGGAAAAACGCGAAAGTCCGACTCGAGGAGGGGACGCTGTACAGCGTCAGCTGTCAATTCCAGGGCCTCAGGATGACGTGCCGCCAGTGGGCTCTAACCCACGACAGCACCGCCATACGCTCGTAACGACACGCAACAATAGTCTTGTCGGCCGGTGATCCACTTTACCCGTAGACGACAGTGATCGGACGGATCTCCCATCGATTCGTCGATAACCGCCGGTCGGGGGGCAGGTGTTACCCAGGACCGAGCGGCGGCGGAAAGTCAGCCCGAGACCGGTTACACCGACGCCGATTAACGCCAGGCTCCGTAAAACGACAACACCGGGAGTGAAACCGGTATCGTTTCGACGAGTCGGAGTTTCGACGCCGCGGGGCCGCGGAGGTGTTTACTCGCGCGGCGATCCGGCGACGAGGTTCGCTCTTCTCGCCGCGGTAACCCTCGTCGAGGAGTCGATCTCCAAATTACACCGCGAGATTACGAGATCGAAGTCTGGACGGTGGAAATCGAGAGAACGCCGGTCGGACGTTAATCTTCTCTCTCTCTCTCTCTCTCTCCCTTTCTTTCTCGCCGACGTCGCCCGAGCCGTAATCTAAGAAAGAACGGCGTACCGCTAAGCGGAGTCAATTAAGCGGTCTGTGCAACTAGGTGCTGGTTGCACCAGCCGGTCGGCTAACCGTCGTCGTCCTCGTCCAATGCGTGTTCTCTGTATGCTCTCTAGACGATAAACGGCGACGTGGTCGGAAGAAGAAGGGGGGCAAGCGCGAGTCGCCGAGCGGAGTCAATTAACCCAGACGGCCGGTCGTCGATGCAGAGTAAGAGTGGGACCAATGCGTGCAGGTAGGGAAGTAAGAAATCGGATGCATATCAGGTGTGCACGACCCGTCACGCCTGATTTAACGCGACCGAGAGCTCGCTCGTTCGCCGCACGCTCGTCGCGGTGCACGAAAACCGCGTCGATCCCGTCGTCGTGTTCCGACGGGAGAGAACCTGCCGTTGGGCCCCGGGGTACAAGTGCATGTGCGTCGCGGATGGATGGACGGACGGACGGACGAGCGAGCGAGCGGATGAACGGACGAACGAACGTGCGAGAGTGAGAGGAGAACACAGGCGGAAAGGTGGGAACGCTCAGGGACGACGGAAACGTCGCGAACGCGTCTACCGGGAGAGTAGGTGCGCGGATATTATGGCGTCCGAGGGGATCCGTCGGGGCGACGCCGAGCACCAGTTCGCAAAGAGAGCGTGTAACCGCTTCTCGCGACGGACGGATGATGATGATGGGAGCCGCGAGACTCACCTGATAATAGCTCGATTCCGCCATCTTGCTCCCGCACTCTTGTATACGCTGCTTCCACTCACTCACTCACTGCTTTCTATCCGTCCTTTGTGCGCGTCGTGGCCGACAGGAGGGAGGTGGTGGTGGTCCATGGTGCGTTTGATCGCGCGCCGGAATTATATTTTCACTGGGTGCCTCGCGTCGGCGCCGTGCTCGCCGCCGTACGGCGCCGCGGCATTTCTCGCGCGTGCAGCGATGCCCAAACGCGCCTCTCGTCTCGCACCTCCGAGAGCGCTTCGCCGTCTCGCCCGCCCCGCCGGGGATTCGCGACAGAGACCGCCGTGTCGTTGTCCACCGCGGTGGTGACGACGACGTCGACGACGACGCTGGGACGCGAGGAGGCTGCCGCAGCCGACGATCGAGCCGTCACGCACACTACCACACAGGTGGATGAATGAAAGATGCACGGCGCTCGCGGACAAAATGCGAACGCGACCACATTCCACCGCACCGGACTGTCGACTGACTTCAGGCGGCCGGGCCAATCGCCGCGCAAGGCGCGTGCGCGCAGGTCTCTCGCGTCGCCCGTGACGTCACGAGGTGCGACCAGTCCCGGGTCACCTGCATCCGCGAACCGCGCGCGCCAATCGCGCTTATCGGCGGCGTGAGGTGTTGAATTTAAACTTGTTTTATCGAGATTTCATGACGGGGAATTCTTCCACGGACGGGTTCCGACTGAACTCTCGCTTGTTTAACATCGAGTGAGAAATAAAGGTAGAGTCGTTGCGAGCGTTAAGTGAAATCGACGAGTTGCCGTCGCGTAACAATGACTAGGTTTACGTCACAACGTTAATCCGGTTTAGCAACAATCGTAGTTAGTGAGCTCCTGCATTTTTAATTGCAGTATATTTCTAAATCTAAAAGATTATACCAGTCGGATGCAGGAACTCACTAACTACTTGGTTATTAAACCGGATTAATGTTGTCGTATAAATAGTCTATGATTTCGTCAATCGCTGCGCAATGTATATTTCGTACCTCGAGAGTGTAATCCACTAGACTAGTTCCTATATGCTTCGAAGTGCTTTTTATACACGAGATTAGTCATTATGAAACGCTCGGAAGTGTCTAATGGATCCTACTCATAGATGAACATATATGATCGTTTTGGTACGTTCGTTATATTATTAAACTATATACATATATTTATAATATTTATAATATATGATGCCTATGGAAGCTCGTGGAATACGCGATTACTGCGAGATCAGCATATTCAGCAGTTCCTCGGGCGTCCTGGAAAAGAGACTGCCGGCGTTTTGATATAAATTCTTCGGATCATGACAGGCGTCGTACAACTGTCTGTATATGGCTCCGATCACTTCAAACGATCTTCTCTGGGTAACTAAACGATGATTGTTACTCTGCAGTAAACTTATCTGTGGCAACAGCAGGACGTCCGGCATCACCAGAAATGCCTCTAGTTTGTTCTACAAAGAAACGACATGTTCACGTCCGCAAGCAATTATTATATGTCGCGGATCTGAATGTACAAATCGCTTACAGTGAATTCCTTCACGCTGAGGGCATCCATGCCGGGTATGGATGACAGTGGACCCTGTTCACGACCTTGTAAAATGGTGTAGATCGAGCCCAGATTCAAATGCGCCACCAAAGAACTAGCTTGCTCCGACGTAAGTGTGTCGATTTGCGCGTCCGATTGTGCCTGAAAAATCGTCGATTACAACGACAGTTACCAGTTAGTTAATGACGGTTGACAGGTGACAGTTGCAAAAAAAGAATATAAAAAAGCAGATGTCGAAAAATACAAGTGATGGAAGCAGCGTGTCACAATCGCGTCCATTATTGTTTAAATCAAAACCAACCAATCACCTGTAACCTTTCTAATCTCTGGTCCATGTATTCATACAACGCCAGGGTCGATTGTATTTGATGCATGCAATTGAGAAGATAGACGGCCATGTCCACCGTCGGCAATCTGGACGCAGTCTCGTTGACCTCTTGGAGTAACGGGTCAATGATGCACGACACGATCTGTCGAAGATCAGAAAGTGAAAGCACAGGGTGAATGTAAAAATCGAACGTTGAAAAACGTCCCCATTAAACGTACCTGCAACATGTCCTTCTCTCTATCCTCGGCGATGCTAGCTACAGATAGTATCTCGTTTAGAAGCGACAATAATCTAGAGACGGACGGAGCAGGCACCAAATCGTTTCCCGGGGGCTCCGCGCGCTCGCCGAGAGCGATCCTCGTTTCTCTCTGGAGTCTACTGAGGAAGCTCTTCTCGCTCTGAGTCAGCAAATCGAAGAGTGTAAGATCCAGAACGCTGTCGGGTATCACCTGTTCGGTGATAGCGCGGTAGAATCTAATTAGGGTTGTGACGGAGTACAATACCGTCGCTGGCGCCTCGGTAGATATAACGTGTTCTATTCTCGATTTCAAAGGATGACATAAACTCTCGGTGATGTTGCTCAACGCCTGTTTCACCTGATCCGACACATCTGCGAACAATGAATGCATTAACACATTCGAATGTTCAAACGTGGTGCTTTCTTTCAACTCGAAGAAGGAAATAACTTCCCACCAGTCTTATCACAGCTTTTTACTAAGGTGAGGATATTCTCCTTCTCTACGGGAATCGCTTGATGCAACCATGCGAGCATATCACCGACGTATCGCTTAGGATCATTGGCATGCATCTCTATGGGGTTGGGTGTTCCACCGAAACCTTCTCCCAACGTTAACGCGTCTATGAAGGATCCCACCAAAGCGGTTCTTCTAGCTGCACAGTATTCATCTAAAATGTACCTGAAAGAAGAAATATATTAATTTATGAGAAAAAATGTATAATAACTAAGAAGGCTTGTGACAAAATGTCAAGTGTCTTACTTGAATAACACTGGCCTATCTTGCAGTTTACTCATAGCTTTAATAAGTAATGGTGCCAGACGTTCATTCTCTATGTTCTTGCACTGAGTCTGCGTCCACCGATATAACCTCTCCAGCGCAGCTTCTTGCAGCAGTGTCATTCTCTGCATTATGTCCAAAGCCAATGTCTGATATCCAGATTGCATCAGCACTCTACACTTACCATGAATATCCTGAATTGTCAACAAATGTATATATGTAACAACAGATATAGTTACAATTATTAAAGAAAAATAACTTTCAACATTTTACCTGTACTTTATTAACTACAGAGAAAAATTCTTCTGTTATAGGAGACTCTCTAACTGATCCATGCAAAACAGCCAATTCGGGGGAAGTTAGATGAAAGTTCTTAATAAACGCGCTCGCAACCTCCTGTTGCATGGATAATGTTTGACTGGCAGTGAAAGCAAATGATAAGTGACTTTTTTTGATATCGCAACTATAAGTTATAATACAAAAACTTTTCCTCACTTTTCATTCTGAAGTTTTGACGTATGTTCTATGAGTTGTGATGTTTGAGCTTTTGTAACTTGCAAGCGATTAGTCATAGACTGTACAGCTATGTTCATGGCTAGAACATCTTGGTAAACATCATCCAAGGAAGCCTTTACCTCCTTAAAGGCAGCCAAAAATTCTTCATTTATCGTCAGACTTCTCCTTTCTATCTTACTACGCAAGTTACGGCGAGAATTTAAGGTGTTTTCAGTGAAGAACGTCGATAATTCTTTCAGAGCTTCCAATGTATCCTGGAATACATTATGGAATGGAATTTGTAACACTATATATATAATATATATATACTAATAATAATAATAATAATAAACAAATGTAATCGACACATAATTAACATTACAGTTAATTATTTAACACTTAAAACTTTATCGAGTTACCCTCAACACGAAATTTTCATGTAAACAATTTGTTTACGACGAACCTTATCATGCTCCACTCTGGATTCCAATAATTTATTGACCCTTCGCACTAAAGCGGAGTTGATGTTTTTTTCGCTCATCGTGCAGTCAGATTCTAAAATTTATGAGCAACCCATAACCTATACCGTACGCAAATGTCAAAAAAAAGCAGCCATGTCAACTAAGCACACGACACGTCAGTGATGGCACCATAGCGTGTGTAATCACGTGACGACTACAGCCTCTTAAAAGTTTACACATACCATTCAAGCACCTATTAATTACCAAAAGGGCCAATTTGTTACAGAAAAACTTGAAGTCTTTGAAGTGGAAGAGAAATTGATAAAATATCACCTCTTGTGTAACGAAGTCAAACAAGTTACGAGTAATGAAAAAAATGTACGACTTTTTTTACGAGTTTTTTACAGCTGCACCGCTAAACTGCTTCGTAATCGTCCTATCTTTTTCTCTCTTCCACCAACCGTCAAATCATAAGTGCAGATAGTGTAACGTAGTGCAGATGTTTGACAATGGTTACGCTACTAGTAGGATTAGCCAATGACATTTCACTTTTCATCTCGACATGCGTATACGCGGCTCCTGCCTAATTTTTCTCTTTTTACTCATAATAAAAGAATTTACCTTGCACACAATCTATCGAGATAAAATCTGACAATGCTAATTAAACCGGACAATATTCGTTCGCTCTACGAGGAGCAATTAAAATAATTTGCTTCTGAATAGTATCGATACTCGATACTATATTCGATAGTTGCTGTGATATAGAAAGAGAAAGAGAGTGGTAAAAAGAGAATAACGAGTGAGGGAGAGAGAGAGAGAGAAAGGGAGGGAGAGAGAGAGAGAGAGATAGAAAGAAAGAAAGAGTACGCAAAGTAGATAGCATGCAGTAATCCGGTGCATTTAGTTGTCGCGTGAGTGTGTGTAGTATTTTTTCGATGAATTAGAATAAATATGCGCTGTCTAATACGTCTGTGCGTCCTCGCGATTTTGTTGTTGCACAGTATAGAGGCGAACAACGATGAAGCACCGTTAACCAAACTCGGCGGGAAGACAGGGCCGACCTTAAGATTCTTTTATTGGTAAGATTAACGACCCGCTTGTTGATTCGCGAATAAACTTGACGGTCGCGGCCACAGACGCTCGTCCCTTGGCCTGTAAGATAATAAATGTGTAACGATCACCTGTGGCCGTAATATAGGCCTTCCTAACAAGACGCTTATCAGGTCATTCCTCGCAAATTATCGCAAAAACGTCGCCCAAACTCCTGGATTCCGACTGATTTTCGTCGCATCACCCGATTAAATATCCGTCGTTTTTTCTTTACAGCTATTCATGTGGCTACAGGAAAGTCTTTGAACAATATGTGAACATACTCAGACAAAAGTATCCAGAGCTTCAGATTGAGGGGGAGAACTTTAATCCGCCAGGCTATAATATGTTAATTGCGAGAATATTGGTAATTACACGTACAACGATCTGATATCGTACTATGTTACTAATAATATTGGCTTATGCATCTGATGATCGTGTAAATTTGTGTTCAGGGAACATTGAAAATATTGGTTATTATTCTAATTGTAAGTGGAGTTGACTTTGGTCGTCCTGTGCCATCCGTGTGGCAATGGTGCATAGAGAATCGTTTTTATTCCTGTGTATTGATTTTCCTGATCTGCAACGCCATAGAAGGGCAGTTTATTTCATCGGGTGCATTTGAAATACATTTTAACGGTATGTAGTAATTTCTACCTCATTTTATATCATTCCAATTATTAGATTGAACGTTGAGTAACTGTATCCATCACGGTACATTTCAGATGTTCCTGTGTGGTCAAAGCTTGAAACTGGTAGGATACCACAACCACAGGAACTATTTCAAATAATCGATTTCCATTTAGAAATGCAGTTTACAGAACGAGATATAGGCAAAATCAGTTTTAATAAGTAAAGCATAATTTCATTACATTCTCGGAGATTAATAAATCCAGTCGTGTACTACGCAAGCCAGCAAAGTTTGCGGTGCAATGTGATGAAAATATGTACAATATACTTGTTAAGTAAGTAAAGAAACCTTAACATATATCATAGAATGTAATTCCAACAAGACTAATATATGTAAATGTAATTAAAATAAAACTGTTACCAGACTTTTATTACAGGACTTCACTTACAACACTTCTTCATAATTATCTTGTAAAAATGTTCACAATAGGATATAATACATCATCTCGTCTCGTATATTCAGTGTTTGTTAATGTTTAAGACTAAATTCATGTTTAAGACTAAGGTCTTAGGGGCAAATTTTAACGAAGGTATCATTTAATATGTATATTGGAAACTGGGCTGAAGCTATGTGTGTGATCACTAATTAAGGGACGTGCTTCATATGCACAAATAGTTACACCGTGCTGGTGAGATGGAGTCCACTCTCCCCTCAATCCAATGTAGTAAATTCTGATTTGTTCCCCGATACCATGAAAGTAAAGACTCAAATGATTTACAGATGAGAATTTGACTGTCCTGTAATAGAATTTATAATATCTAAATCCTGCAAGTGTTGTAATATCTCCTACAAACATTCTTTTGTAGTTAGTATTAGGTTACAGCAATGGAAATTTTATAAATCTTATGTATATATCACAATAGAATATATATGTGGACATACTTCACGGGATACTCGATCAAACCATGTGGGTCCCTTTGTAAGTGAAATTCCTGATCCGGAGAAATCACATCGTCAAACACCATGTTTGGCCGATTTTTAAATCTATATATCAACGTACATTATAAGTTTATGTATATTATTTATTTATAAATAAAAGATTACTTTGATCTCCAAATATATTAATGCATATTATTTTCCTTAAGAGGTTTGATTTTACTCACAATTTCACTGTATTAGGTTCTAACTCTTCATCTGCAATTACAATGATGCTCTTCAATTTCACATTTCCTGTGAAACTGCAAAAGATTAAGAATAGTTACATATAAAATAATTTTAATTGTATGATACGTATGGATACTTACGGTATATTGAATAAAAGCTCAGCATCTACGTCACTTTCCACAAACTAAAATAAGATGGAATGAAAGATGAAACTTCGCGGAGAATTTTTATAAAAACAATTAGAAGTCTGCGAGGAAGAAACTTTATAAGTACCTTAATTCTGTTTAACCTTTCCTCCCATGGTTTGAAGACTGTTGCACCGGTACCTTCTGTGCATTCATTCAGACATTGTACCCTAGCAATGTCTATTTTATTATATAAAGTGCAACAAGGACCTGAATCTGTCTTCGTATGTTCACCACAATTGTGACAACGCTCCATTATCCGCAAACTCTATTATCGATAAAATATTAAAATAGAAGTATGCAATTTTCTCGAAACATATCGTGTTTACACAGATCCGAATTATTTTGTCCGCGGGAAGCACGCAAACAGAACACTGACAGTTGTTCGTTTTTTATTTCGCAGTATAACCGTTGTATTTAGAAACGATTTGCGCTTTCAGGAATGACTATCAATATTTGAAGCATTTGTCACTCACCTTAATTTATTTAGGAATATGAGAAGTTTATCAAGCAGTTACTAGGTTAAGATCACAATTGCAAGATTGTTTTAACAGTGTAATTGCAACAGACAGTTAACTTTTGCACGCGGATAATAGAATCCTCTTATCAGTCGAACGGCAGGTCACGAAAGATTCGGTATTAAATAGCTTTGAGAGATTATTTACATCGAAACCCGCTCTTCTCCTCTCTCCTTTTGTATACCATAACCTGTTCGTAAATAAAATTTGTGTTTATAACACGAGACCTCTGCAGAATCTATATACATTTTCACTTGAAATACAACGATACGCGGATTTCCGTTGCACCAATAAAATTGATATTTATATAATTTTGAAATCTTTTTCAAATATACAAACGATATATCTGCATACGTCATCTTTAACTTTTTTCCGGCTTCCTGATTATCTTCTAAAAAAATATTAAGTTTAAGAAATAATAATCAAACGTCAAATTCTCACATGAGCGGGTATAAATAGGAAATTATTCCGTTCTTAAGTATTTATTTACATACATTTACATTTACCTTATGACAAAAATCGTACTATAAAAAAAGAAATAAGTCGACCTGAAAACTCTTCAGGAAGTAGTTTTATTGGGAGGGATAATTCTCGAAATTCGCATAACATATAATGTGTAATATGTCGAGATATGCGAAATCCGTATGTAAAATACATATATATTCAATATGTACAGCTTCCGACGATATACGTATATATGAGATAGATATTTTTATTACGCAATTACAAGATAATTGTGTTTCTATCCTTTGCGATCTTGACAAGAGTAATGCACTATGTCCCCATTGGGGTATCTCGCAAAAGCGCTGAAAAAATAGAACCGATTAATATATGTATGTAAGAATAATTTGCAAGTGTTTTAGATTACATAAAGACTTTTTACACCAACCTCTGATTACCAAATCGTTTTTTACAAACTGGGCATATATTGAATTCTGTCATGAGGACGTTTTGCGATTCATAGTGCATCCGTTGCTCTTGCACTTGTAAATGCTCTGCATACAGTAGCCCTTTGAGAACCTGCATTTTTCGTCTTGTGTTCAAGTTATTCTGTAGGCTAACCTCCAGGAAGCGTCTTATTCTGCCGATAGGTACGGAATCTGGCAACACTTCTAAGGCTTTCATGGGATTTATTTCGGAAGCGTGTTCTTCTAGCAGTTGGAGGGCCATCTCTAAATCTGGTTGCGCCATTCTTTGAATTTCCGTGTGACAACCTTGATGTGAAAGTATATAAATAGCTCAAATATGTAAATATGAACAAATGAAACCGAACGATTTGCAACGTAGTATTAAAGGCATGCACAATATATATATTTTTATATATTATATATGCATATACACAGTCATTTACCGGCCATTAGAACTCCTTCATTATCAGGCTTCAGTAATTGCTGAATCAGCAGAACATAAACCTCATCGGCGTTATCTGTTTGCTTCTGCTTGTCCGCACGATTTTGATCTTGAAGTAGAATTTCTAGTAAATTACTGTGTCACTTCTTCCGGACACGTAATTAAAGAAAAAATCAAATGTAATCATTTCAAAGTCTACACTTACTTTGGTACCTTGTATATACATTGTGACAGTATTGTATTGCACGCGGTATGTCGTTTAAGAGACTAATGTATATGGATATAGCTTGCTGATGACGACCAAGTCGACCGAGTATAATCGCACGCTCCTCGAACAAACTGTCGAACGGGAAGTGCACCAGTATTGTTTCCGGCGTGTAATACGCCGATTTTTCCAGGAATTGTTGCAACTTCTGTCGGATGTGTTGCGACGCTTCCTTTTCCGCCGGCGTCGCGTTCGCGTCCATCGAGGCCAGACACTTTTCCTTGTATTGGTGTATTAAAACGTTGTGAAACAACGGATTGGTATCTTCCCATACGTGCACCACATGCTCGAGATACTGTATCACCAAGTCCTTGTGGCACCGTAAAAGGAAATCCAGTATCTTTGGTCTGGGCAAATGTTCGACCTCCTGTAAATAAACGGGAAGCTGAGTAATATTAACGAATAATAATGAAACGTGACGACAGAACGGCGATACGCGATACCTGTATGTCCTCCATAAATATCCTGAGGCCCTGTTCGGGATCTTCCGTCAAAACCCATCCGGCAAACTTCAGGATTAAATCCATGTGATCCTTGCCGAGATGTTGCAAATACTGTATCGTACGTTCGGTGCCCTTCAGACTAGAATCGTATTCCTTCGCGTGCTTCTCCAGCAGCTCCAGCGCCTTCTTGTGCTGACCTTTAGTCTGATACAATATAATGAGCTCTGGATACTTCTGGTGCATCAACAAGGTTTTCTCAGCCTCCGCCAAGTGACAGTGATTCAATCTGAGTAGAGGCGCTACCAGAGCATCGGTAGTCTGAAACGATGTCGAATATTTACCTCAGACAGTTTCCTGCGAGAAATCTTTTTGCGCATTTGGTAGTTTTCCTCTTTTCTTACCTGCAAATAGCACTTCAATAGAGTGGTATCTATAATCTTTAGAAGCTGCTCTGTCGCCACGGCGGTTATATTCTTCTCTCCGTTTAATCCGTTCTTCTCCTTATTAAGCTCTTTGTCCTTCGCCATCAACTTGTGCCTGACTTCAGTCAGGAAAACTATCAACGCGCGTAAACCCTTCTCCAAATCGTGATCTTGCAACTTCGGCAGGCTCGGTGCCGGATCGCTGAGTTCGTGTGTGTTGGTCGACGGTGTAACCAAGTCCGGGAACAGCCTGATCACCTCGTACGGATCGGTCCCCAGTTTTAGGAACAAGTCCATCGCTTCTTGAAACCGCTTGTTGTAGAACAGATGATGTGCGTATAACGTTTGGATTTTGTAGATCTGTTTGGATTTCTCTTCGTCCGTTATGTCCGACAGACTCTAAAATATATCATTGTATAATATACCATGAATTATTGTTGATACATCCAAATAAAATACGGTAGTGCAATTAACATACGGTTAATTTTAACGCCAGCTGAAATTGATTTTGCTCCAGCAAAGTCCTGATTTGCAAGGTAACGTCGATTGCCTTGACGCACCAAATCTGACTGATGGACGCTACAAAAACCTTCCCTTGTTTACATCGGAATATGAGTCTAGCTTTATTCAGATCCTTGATCGTTTGAATATGCAGGCATCCCTCCAACGTGTACACCTCCAATTTGTCGTGCACAATGCCGAGCAGATAAGGATCATCCCATGCTGGAAAACACGATGAAAATTTGATTGTATTGCAGCTGTAGTTACAGAAGAAAAATAACAAAGTCTATTTCGCACCTATTACACCAGGTGTGTCGGACCATTTGACAGGATTATGCTGAACGAGCTCTCCTTTCGTGTCCATGATGAACGACTGGGAATCTTTTCCCAATACAAATGAACTATCTGATAATTTTGTGACACTTGGCTCCGGAGATTTACCAGTGGGAAAGAGTTCTTTAGCTTTACCATCTAAATCATAAATGGTGTAGGACAAGCCACGGAATCCTAATATCAATGCTTCACCGCACCTTAAAAATTAAAAATCGATTGTTAGAGTTATTATCGCAAAGCGATCGTATCGAGATTAATTTTGAATAGTTTCTCTCGATATCCATTACCATGATAATTGCCGTGGTATATCAGGTACAGTCATCTCAAAGTCTTTAAATTCTTCAAATTTCTTTCCTTTCCAGTAATATAGCTGTAATTTACGTTTGATAGCAACACATAAGCGTACTACGGTGTTCTTTTCACCTGTTAGGCTCTCAGTTGCCTGAACATCTAAGGTAAATAGAGTAGCACCTCTGGTCTTTTGTAATTGACAGATTTGTTGGAAGTTTGGCGAATTTAAGTCGTGAATGCACACAATATTATCTGGAATTTTCCAAAGTTAGATCGATGCACAATAGGAGACATTGTATAAATCATTACATTGCAATAATGCAATAAAGCACTAATATACCTGTCAGGATGATTAATAAATTGTATTCCGGCACTACGTCTATCTGATTGATTCGTTTTTTGTTGAAATTCTTACTGTGTCTTAATAATTCTAACTTATGGCTATCGTCAAACACTGACGGTACATTGTACATAAGGAGATGACCTTCTCTTGTGCCTATCAATAGATTGTCATCTGAAAAACAATGCGATGAGGAACGAGAAAGTAAAAGTCTATCGACAAGTGTACTTCCTATAATAATCTGATTATGTGTGATGTATGTGTTCATACTAACTAAAGGTTACGGAACAAGGAATAGACTCACCATAAGCAGCCATAGACTCGATTTGCACCGTGATGTTTAACACGGACATCTCCTCGTAAGCGTCGTGCATTGTTGCTATTTAAAAGATGCCGTCAACGGTGACAAATTATCGAAATTACCTCGATTCCTTCACGTACTTCACACTCTCCCGCAGTTTGACAACTGCCACCTTCGCTGCGATGTGTTCCAACTGCACTATTTACACTTAGAACGCGACGCGCACCCAAGGTCTAAAGAAGCAAAAAAAGCAAAGCGAAGCACGAGAAATCATCAGTCGGCAAGAGTTAACAAGCCAACCTTACATCGCACTGTACAGTCGCTCGATATGGCGGTCCGCGTAGCTGTGGTACGTATAATTACATAGAAATGCCGAGATAATTGATGAATATTGTATTCCCGCCGTTAATTATTCTAGATTTCAAGTCGACTGGAGTTATCAGCTAGTTAGTTAGTTAGTAGCAAATTTAGATTAGTTATTAGCTAGTTAGTAGGAAATTTAGATTCGTAATTAATGAATTGTGTAACTCCGCGTAACTTGCGTTTCAGGTAACTGGAGGAAACAAAGGTATCGGCTTTGAAATTGTCAAAGCTCTTTGCCAAAAATTCGACGGTAATGTTTATCTGACAGCTCGCGACACAAATCGCGGCTTGAGCGCCGTCGGTGAATTGGAAAGCCAGGGTTTGAAACCGAAATTTCACCAACTTGACGTCAACGACGACACGAGCGTCACGAAATTCCGTGACTACTTGAAGAACGCATATGGTGGCCTCGACATATTGGTTAACAATGCTGCTATAGCGTTCAAAGTAGTTAAACATTTACATTATTAATAAGCGTTTTTTTATGACTTTAGCAAAAAGTTTGACATATATGATTTGCTAAACATATTTCATGAGTCTTATGTAACATATTGAAACGTTAGGAAATAACTGTACAGGGTGCTCCAGACCAACAGGAACAAACTTTGTGAGGGATTTAAGGGAACAACAAAAGTCCTCTGCCATTTTGCAAATATGCAAAATTTTTAATTATCAATTATTGAAAATAGTCTCATGTAGAGACCTCCTTGAGTTATTAACTAAAGAAGCCTTTATGCAAGGCTATTTTCAATCATTAACAACTCGAAAATTTGCAAAGTGATAGAAGACTTTATTTGTTCACCTCAAACTGTTCTGTGCCTTCACAAAGTTTGTCTCTGCTGGTCAGGAATATCCTGCATATCTTGTAGACGTTTCATGAAAATATGAAGCGTTACCCATCGATACATACACTAAAACTGATTAACTTTCTTACCATAGAATGACGCTACGGATCCTTTTGCAGTCCAAGCTGAAGAAACAGTACGAGTAAATTATTTCAGCTTGCGCAGAGTGTGTACTGCACTCTATCCATTGCTCAGACCACATGCCCGAGTGGTTCTTGTTTCCAGCAGTGCTGGGCGTTTGTGCAACATCACTGGCGATGCATTAAAGAAGAAGATAGCCGATCCAAACCTGACCGAGGAGGAATTGGATAACATCATGCGCGAATTTGTCAAGTAAGCTGTATGATCGTAGAACATTTTGCGATTGTTCGTGTGAGGAGGTATCTCCAAAATTCATATTCGCGTACATTGTTATTTTCAGCGCCGCCAAGTCCGGCACTCACTTGCAAGCTGGTTGGTCAGACTCGGCGTATGTCGCGAGTAAAGTCGGAGTGTCCGCTTTGGCCGGTATTCATCAGGCAATGTTTAACGCGGATCCGCGCGAGGACATCGCGGTGAACGCTGTACATCCTGGTTACGTGGACACCGATATGACTAGCCACAAGGGCCACTTAAAGCCCGAGGAAGGGGCAGCTGCACCTGTTTACTGTGCTTTATTACCAGAAAACACAGAGATAAAGGGAAAGTATATTTGGTTCGATAAAACATTGTCCGACTGGAAGTAACAAGCAACGGACAAACCGATAAGCTTAGTGAATCCACTAATCATTCCTCTGCAGAACTTAACACGAACAAACAGATAAATATATTTTCTGTTGTTATTTCTATTACACTATATATGTATTCTAAACATGACGCTCCTATTGTACAATTTATTGTCAAGGAAAAAGTTATTTCTGGGAAAGCACATAACACGTATGTAAATGTATTAATTAGAAACTTTTTGTTTTTGATACATAGTTAAATAAAGTTCTATATCGAAGAATGATACATCATTATTTTACAGAAAACTTTCATATTACACACTATTTGTGTGCACTCTTAACAATTTCACACGCTGATGTAGAATCTTTTGTGCTGTATGCATGTTATATTTGATCCTTAAAGGTAGAAGAACATTGGTTAAAAAAAAATTATAATTATTTAATGAAACTGTGAGTTATCTCGTTTGAACCGCCGCTTCTTTGCGTGCCGCATCCTGTAAGAGTTGGGTGTCTACCTCATCCCCTGGAAGTTGTACATATCTAACCACAGATCCACGAATGAAACAGTTTTTCACGGATAGCTGTAATAATTCAGATGTTATTTACTTGACCATTATTTGCACGAAAGACACGATCACTGTTAATTTTGTACGCACCATATGAGGATATTTGTCCGTGTCAGTTACACTGATGTCGGTCAATTTTATATTTAGGTATTGGTCAACAGAATGCAATGTGCCACAGATACTACAAAAACATCAACAATGTTCAGTCATTACATATCGTTACTTGAAACTATGCTTCATAACTGCGCGATGTCTCACCTGAGGTCATTTTTCAATTCGACAACCACGTCCTTGCCGATCAAGGACTTAAAAAAAGAATAGAATAGCTGAAACCGAAAATATGTTTGTCACTGAGAGATCGGGCTTTGGATGAATATATTTATATCGCGTATTATCTACTTTTTACGCTGCAACTTACCATAATGGCAACTTTCGAAAATCACTGCGATCGTATTTTCTACTTACTAAGGCTAATTTACGATTACTTATTACGATCGCTAATTACAAAAGCATTGTAAATAAATCGTAGCGGCAACAAACCGCTAAGCACGAACTGCTTAATCATATAGTTCGCGACACCCCTGGTGTTTTTTCGCGCGCTGACTCGAGCGCGAGATGTTTCACCGAAATACTAAAAAATCTACTACTTGTGACTAGCGTCAATTCTAGCGATCAAGTTCCTCAGCGAGAACCAATACGCTGATGCGATCGTTGGAGGCATTACGGTCCGAGCAGTTGGTAATCGGTAGGGCGTTGACATTGGTCGAAGAGGTGATGCGTGTGTGACGTTTGCTGACTTTGCGGTCGTACGGTCGGTCGCTTCCCGTCGTCGATAATAATACAGCCGAACCTGTTATGAACTGATCGCGAGAAACATGTCAATTAATCTGACGAAAAACAAAGATGCCTTAGTGGCCGCTTGGCACAGCGTGGTCGACGATAAGTCGTCTACTAACTGGTAGGCTTACATTTAAGTTCCTTCTGTCGGTCCGGCGTACGAGAAACAGTTTCGGCACGCGTATATACACGCACATGATCGTTAAATCGGCCGGTTATTTTTCTCTCCTACCGAGCTTACCCCGTTAAATCGTACCGTTCTCACGCGCACCCCGTAAGCTCCGTTATTTCGCGTTAATATCGAGCCGGTGACAAGCACTTCCGTCTTTATCAGCTCTGCTTATCTAAACGATCGTGGCTTTTTGTCAAATGAACGATTGAGCCTACCCCTTTTCAGCTGTACGTTCTATACTTTCCGTTAATTTCTCAATGTTTCATTCTATGCTTGTTTCGTCTCGGATTCTGTGCTTGCGATGCGATGAAAAAAATCAGACCCACATTGACAGATACATCGCATAGTTGATAATCAAAATGTTCTCTCTATTCTGTACAGGGCTGTGTTCGGATATGAAGGACAGACAAATAACTTAAAAGTAGTTGGGACAGGAGATGGAGGATTGGAAGAGATGATCGATCAATTGAGCAGTAGTTACATTATGTACGCATTTTGCAAAGTTATCGATACTAAAACAAGTTTACCAAAGTGTTTGCTCATTAATTGGGTAGGTACAAGAAGGACTAATGCGGTCCGATCAAATAAAAACTGCGTCATACTTTTCAACGAAGTAAAATATCCGATTAGTGTATATTCTTTGCAACGTGTCGAGAGAAGGGAGACTTTTATGTGCCTGACAAGATCATTCTTTAGCAAGGGGAAGGCGCTCCAATTGTTAGGAAAGGAACATGCGCGAATCATATCAGAGATGTGGAACGGCTGTTGAAGGGTGCTCACATAACGATAACTGCGCGCTCCGAGGATGACGTGGAAGTAGATGCGATCATGGAGAAACTCGCGCGTGCAACAGCTTCTGCGTATAAATTCAATGAGCCTCGTGGTGACAATGAAGGGCACACGGGTCCTATTGGAACAACATATCGCAGGTACGTATACCTATTCCGTAAGAAGGCGGAAAACACTGCTGAAATTTGAACAGTTGCACAGGTGCATAAATGCGCGACGATCTTAATTAACTGTCTTTGATTAACTGGCGCGCTGTGCAGAGTGATCCCCGAACAGGAGATAAACGCAACGGAGAGAGACCAGTTTTGGCAGAAGGAGGAGATGGAGGAGAAAAAGAGACTGGAGCAGGAACGAATTCGTTGCGAGCAGGAACGACAGAGGCTAGAACGGGAAATTAGAACTCGGGAGGAGAAGGAGACGCAACTGAGGGAGCAACAGGTACATCGCGCTCTTATCGCCCATCGTGCATCGTATTTCTCATTTCTACCTTGGATATCGTATTACACGAAGCCGTGTATAAAATTCTTTCTCTTTTTCCCAGGTAACCGCCAAGGAACACACGATCGCGCGGCAAAAGCTGGCGGAGCAACGTGCCGAGGAGGCGAACAACTTGCGCAATCAATTGGCGGCGAGTCAGAACTACAGCAACGACGTCGAGGACGACCACAAGTCACGGAGCGAAGAGTTGCGAAGGCAGAGGAGCAAAGAGACGCAGCAGTTGATCGCTCAAAGGACGATAAACGCCAGAGCCGTGTTCGAGCAGAACTCGGCGGCCGGTCAGATGAAGACGACGTCGGTCCAACAATTTCTACCCAAGAGCAATCACGTGGAGTCCGTGAGGAAAGCGTTGGAGGAGGCTCAGATAAAGGAGCAACAGTCTCTGGACGCCAAGTCTCGCGAGGAGACGCCGGCCGAGACGAGGAAACCCGCCGAGACGGTGACCGCCTCGTCCGCAGTACTTCAGTCGCAAACCTCTGCCAGCCAAGAGGCGAAAGCGAGCAATCCTCAAGCGGAACCTACGCAAGCCGCCGAGATCAAGGAGGAAGCCGTCGAGAACGAGTTGTACAATCCGTTGGACGGCCCTTATCTGTACTTCGACCCGAATAACGAGGGTATGAAGGCCAGAGCGTTGTACGATTATCAAGCCGCGGACGACACGGAGATCACTTTCGATCCGGGTGACATAATCACCCACATAGACGCCATCGACGAAGGCTGGTGGCAAGGGCTCGGTCCCGACGGCACTTACGGACTCTTTCCCGCTAATTACGNAGGTATCTTTTAACGTAATAATCGTATCTGTACACGTATGATGATTGTTTACTTAGTTTAATCCGAACACAAATGATGTCAAGACAGGGTTAAACGAGGGAGAGGGAGGGGGGGAGAGGGGACTTTGATCGAGATCGTTGTTTTTTTTTTTTCCGTTTCCTCTTCGCCCGCATATAACGACGCTTGCATGTAAAAACCGATAAACGGCGCCCACGTCCGCATTTCCGACGGCGAGTGCCGTTACGTTTCTAGGTGTAAACCACACGCTGAGCCACACACACGCGACGTAAACCAGCAATTCCGAACGACTAGAGGTATTTCGCAACGCGCCGAGCATTTCGAACAGCTAGGTATTCTTGGAAGATGCGCTTAAAGGTGTTTAAACGGTTAAAATGCACGTCCCTGTAACGTTTCGCGCCTTCCGCTGTCTAATCCTCAAGGAGTGAGTATATATATATATATATATATATGTATGTATATATATATACACATACATATGTATACACAGTTAATATTTCAATTAGTAAGATCTCGGAAACCAATTGAAATGTTAATCCTATCTGCGGCGAAGCATCAGTCTTCCCGAGAGGTTTTACAGATTTTATCCAGTAACTAACCAATACGTTACATAAATATATCTTTTTATAACATCCTATATCAGACGCCGACGTAGCAATAGTTGAGACGCATTCTGACACATAGGCAAAGAAAAAAAAAAAACAAAAACAGAAGTACGAAGGAAACTGTGTCACCGTAATAGTTACTTAAGTATACAACCATTTTTAGAACAATAAATATTGTAATTATAATTATAGCGTAATTATTAATACTATAATTTGTTATAGTACTTTGTTTAATAATACGAAGAATTTAGCATTAAAGTACTTGCTCGTACGCAAATTTCTCTTTTTGTGCCACCTCTTGGAAAGTCTGTGTTTGTACCATCGGTCCGTTGTCTTAGAAACGAGTAGCACAAAAGATACCACGATTGCCGCCGATGGAACGCCGCGACGATCGATAGGCGTATCAGGTACGATAAATTTATTTTATTGTACGAAGTATAAGGAAATTTTTACAGTTAACTATAGTATAGTGAGATAAAATATCATCACGATGTATTATACAGATAAAAAACGAGGAGAATCATCTTCGGTAGTTCGGATTCTGTCCACCACCTGTGCCACCCGCGTGACTCAGGAAAGCCAAGTGGCCCTTCGGACACTTGTTGGCATAATGGCCCTTCTGGCCGCATTTGTAACACGTTACTTCCTCCAGAGGTTTCTGCGGACCTCGCGGAGGCGGCGGTCCGTTGTGCATATTCATATGGTGATGCGATGTGTGCGAGTTATTCTCAATCTCTTGTCTGACTTGGGCCTCTCGCACGTCGGGCGGCATTTTGTTGCAATAGATCGCCTTGTGACCGCCCTCGCCGCAAAAGTGACACGTAATCATCACCTTCTTGCCCTCCTTGGGCTGCATGTCTTGCACCGCTGGCAGCTCGAATCTTGGACTGTGAGAGAAACGGTGGCGAGTTTGTAAAGGTAGAGAAATGCCGGATACGTTTCCGTATAAAGGATAGTGCATATATGTCCATTCGTTTCGTACGTATACGTTCACTTACTGCATAAACTTGCAATTCGAGCCTTCCGGGCAAAAACCAGCTAAGTAAGCCATGCAGAGAACTCGTCTGACATGACGATGTCGACACAAAGGACCGTGCCTGCAGAAACCACGGTCGTACCACGGACAATCTCTGACTTTAGTCTCAGGGTCAATGTGTAAAAACGGACATTCCTTATTGTGGCACGCATCTGCAACGGTTCACCTTATGTATGATATGGCTCTACATGTTATCCTGTATGTTATCCTTAGATGAAATATATAAAATCTTTGTATATTACATTCTAAAGAACTGTCATAACGAGCTGACGCAGAACATTTAGCAGAAGGAAGCAACTTAACGATCACCGTGGTATTGGGTCTACTCACTGAATCTGGAGTAGAAATAACATTCAGGCATTTTCGTCATGTCATACTCGTGCAGGAATTCACACTGATCGCCTTTTTTGCAAAGGCCTCTCAACCAGTGTTTACATACTATCGTGCGGTCGCCACGGACGTGCCTGAATGGGCACGAGGCTCCTTTGACGCAAGTACCCCTCGGATAAAATTGACATACCGCGGCAATCGACTCTAGAAATTGAAAAGGGAGGAAATTGTTACGACTACACAACGATTGGATTCTCTTATATATAATGCTGGTTTGTTCACGTGTAAATTCAATCGGAATTCGTGTTAAAATTCAAGTAAATACGATATAATGCTGCGTGAAGTTAGCCCATAACCTAAAACGCGCTGTATTAAAATATAACAAAAAATACGCACTGTCCATCCCAGTGAAGGGTAATGAAAGAGCCCCATACTGTTCGTCGAGTGCAGTTTCAATGTCAAACTGCATGTTGTCCACATTCGCTACTATACACTCCATCGTTATTGTGAGAATAAGCGATCAAACAGAAAATTCATGCACTGTCCTGCCGATCTCCTATGTATGTATATATGTATGCATGTGTGTGTGTGAATATATGTAGCAGTAGTGTGGCTACTGGACGCTCCAAGGCAGTTATCCATGTACCATTTCTCGGTTTTAATATTTAACTATTTGATTAGATGATCAGATAGTACAGATTAAACCCGATCTTAATTACTGCCGAAGCAAGTACGTTTTCGGAAAATACGGTGAGGTTCATCAACGAACTAAGTCACGTGAGCACGTGTGTATGACCACCAAAGACCAGACATCAACTAACCGCCGATCTTCCACCACACATAACCTAGATATCACATAATAACGTCAAACTAGAAGATTATATCAAGCAAGTTCTTCAACTTGTGGAAAATTCACGAGTTGCGCCCTCTAGAGACACAAACGTCGCTGAGTAGAGCTTATCGGAAACAAGATAAGATAACATGCTGTACTGATCGTTTCATTGGCTACGGAACATCTGAAAATGAACATAAGACGATCTTCAATCGGTTTGTTCGTTTCAGCCGAATTAGATTGCACTTTTTATCTGTCGAATGAAACAAATGCATAATTTAGCGTTGGAGAATAAAGGAACGAAGTTCCGGTGCAGCACTGTTGTAGTTCAGCTGCGACAGCACGAACAGACCTAATATAAGACCAGATTATGAACCGGTCTTAATGCGCACTGGTGCGTCGTGCACCCAATCGAACGTTCAGTCAGCTACGGGACGGACAATGGCGCGGTAAAACATATTAGTGGTTTCGTATTTTCTGCGATCTTAGCTCGTCGAACCGTCAATCATTAATCGAAATATCGTCGAATTACCTCAGCAAGATCCAGAGATGCTGGCCGAAATGTCGCTGGTTCGACGCGTTATGAAGGTTACGGATATAAATGATCGGCCTTTACGGCTTCGCCGAAGAAGCAACGAAGGTGAATTTCGTGCATTTTCCAAACCATCAACATTCCGAATACCGTAACTATTTCGGGCATTTTGCGTGTCTCAACCTGCGCGATTTTGAAGGTGCGACTGGGACGTTGTGATTGGTCGAGCTCGAGCTGCGCCGGCGCGCTGCGTCGTTTCTCGAGAATCTCAATCGTGCGATGTTCAGTCAGTTGTGGAACGTGTTGCGCCGCGGACTTTCGTATTCGATGAGTCGCTCCGTATTCTTCGCAACCTCGACTCGCCGAAGGTGAGTTTCGCGTACGTGTCGCCCGATGGTCCCGAAAACAAGAGTATCGTGCGTTTACTCAGTAAGCTGTCGTGAAATAATCACCGATAATGAGCAGCTCGCGCTTGAGAACGTCGAGCAAGGTGCCGTATACACATCGGGTTATGGTCGTTTGAAGGCGACTTCCTCCGCCTGTCACGATTTCTTCCTACCGAAGCGAACGACTCATCGCCGACTCATTGCTGCGAATGTCACAGGTAACTTCAACGTCGTGATCAAATAACCTTGAAAAAAAGAACGGGGCTTTATTTTCTATTCCTGCTGGCTGCACCAGCCGAAGAAGTGTGCACTGAAGCGCTTTCTATTCCAGAATTAGTGTTAGCGACGCGATTTTCTATGAAAACAAGAATTAAATAGTAAATAAAAGCAATGATGAAAATAGGAGCTTTTCTAGACAGTGAAAAGGCACTTTACAATATGTATATTTTAACATTTAGCATTTAACATTCAGGTACATAGATTAGAATCGTCGCTAGCTTTGCCGTTGAAAGTAAAGCTGTTCGATTTTACAGCTGTAACATAGCACGCCATGTTATTCTTAGCAATAAACCGTTCTTTATCCCTCGGCTATATTCGTTCAGTTCTGACTTGCATTAATTCGGCTTTAATGTAGGAATAGAAAACGAATTCCGAATCTCGAGGGGACGGCCGTTCGGAGTGTTGAGTGAAGTGCCGCGCGTATCGGTCGAGAGTCTTCGAGAATCGCAAGATCGCAATATGGCGGTCAATTGTGGGAGGGATCGCGGCGCGGCATTACGTACCGGAGGAGCCGTGTCCAGTGTTCTTCGCGACGTCGGAGACGTATTGCGCGCGACTCGTTGTCCTTGGGAATGCCAAGGTAAGTTTCACGCGTTGCTTCGTCTCGACGTGTCGTGTCGCGAGGTCACCGAATGAATGACCATTACCGCGAGACGGCGGCTGTATCAGCGGTGCGCAGCGAAGTGCGGTTCGTTAACGGAAGCTCCGAAATCGTGTTCTACATTCATGACTCGCCGAAGGAACACGATCGTAAGTGCCGAACGTTTTGCACGTCATTTCGCATATACATAAAGATACAAAGTGGCTTAAGGATCTTGGCAGAATGGCTGTTTTAGCGGTTCGAGGTAACGATTTAATTATGCCTCTTTGTCTTTAAGTAACGCACAATGACTGTCTTGTGTTTTCAGTCTGATACTAGAAGACCATTTTGTTTATGATCGATGGCAAACCGTTGCATAATAAAGAGAACGTGAAAAGTGATAATTTCGACAAAGATTCAGAGCTTGTATAAAACATTGCTCTCAAGAGCACGAGTCAGCCATTCTGCTCAGATGCTTGCTCAGCAAGTTAGAGAGAAAGAGAGAGCGCCGGCCGAGACGAGGAATTCGTCCTCGTCGTCGGAGAAGCCGCATTCGTGCCGATCGAGCGTTTATCCGAAATTCGCGCGCCTCGCCGTGGACTGGCGACCGCGAGGTGCCGCCATCTGCCGGCGCCGGGGGGAACCGTGCTTTCGGCGCTACGTGACAGGGGGCCGCCGCGAGGAGTGGGGGAGCGGCGCGAGGAAGAAAATGGCCGACGAGGCTACGGTAAAAGGGCAGGGACGTCGTGCGAGGTGCGCGCTGCGCGACACGAGATTGCCAGTTTCGCGATAGACCGCGCGAAAAAAGGGCCGTGGAACACGCCGCGTGGGAAGGCCTCTCGTCGTCGTCGGCGCTCGCGATCGCGCGTCCCTACGGGGAACCGCACCGGGACTCGGAGTCTAGGACTGGAGCAGCCGTCGTCGTCGGTCGTCACACGGTGGCCCGATTCGCCGTTTAAAAAACGCGTTCTCGCGTGGCCGAGAGTGGCGGACGTGCGGACGGACGGAAGGGCTCGCCGAGAGGTAAACACGATCTCGTTACTAGCGCCCCTGCCTGCCGTTATCACCCAGCCAGCCGTTCGTTCCCGCGTTCCGCTAACTTTTCTCTCTCGCGCCCGTCTTTCTCCGCGTTCCCGAGTATGTTGTGTGTACACCGCTCGCTCGCCGCCCGCGAGATCGCGACGCGCGCGAGATCCTCCGCGACGGGATATTCCGCGTGCTTAGGTGCCACGATTGATCGATCAGCAGGTTGTGGTCCCTCTCGCGCACACTTGTCAGGGCCACTTGTGGCCGTCCGCCCGCGGTCGCTTTTTAAAGGGCGTGCTGTTGTCGTGTATTTCTCTCTCTGTCTCTCTCTTTGCCTGCCTCACTTGCTCTCTCTGTCTCTTGTCGTCCCACTCTCTCTGTCTCTCTCTCTCTCCCTCCCTCCCCCCGTTCTTCCCCGTATCGTCTCTCTCTGTCGCGCTAACGGGCCAGTGCCTCTCGACCGTGCGTCTCGGTCGAGAGCATCTTTGTCCGCTGCCGCCGTCGTCGTCGTCGTCGTCGTGTACGCGAATCCGAGCGCACGCTCGATGAGAGTACGGAGCTGGCGGACGCCGTCGCCGCGCGGTTCATTATTTATCGCGAGTCCCTTTTACCTGTCGCGAGAGCCTCGCGACTTGGTCGTTTTGAGATTTAAAGGGATCGATTTGTCAACAAGTCGATGAGAGTGCGCGCCGTCGTCCACGGCGGGTTCTCGTTCCGCTCGCTCCCCAAGTAGCAGTATTATTATTGTTGTTATCATCATCATCATCATCGCGAACGCGTGTTCCTCGCGCGTACACCTCGTTCCGTTTCGCGCGCGTAGTAACGCGATCAATCCGTCGCGCGGATAAAACGGACGTGTCTCCGTGTCCTGCGTGTCGAGCTTTTTCGATCGCGCCTTCGCTTTTTTCCCTTCCCCCTGGGGAAGAAAAATATTTGCTGCCGCGTGCATCGTTGCCGCGGGAAAAGCACAATAAGAGATAATTGCCGGCAAAGCGGAAGTTTTTCCTGCACGCGCGTGTTGAAACTGCGATTTAACACAGTTCTTCTCCCCCTCCCCCCCCTCCCTCTACTCCGTCCTCTGGCACCCGTGCCTTTATGTGTTCATTGAAATTCTTTACAGATAAATCCAACTTGCGAGCCGTATCGCACTAATTAAAATCTACAATGGCAGTTAGGTAGTTGTGGAAATTAACATTAGACATTCGTGAACTTCAAGCGTATTTTTATCCAATTGAAGATGTAAAGAACACAACCATAATGAAGCCACAGAAGAAGGCTGTTGTTGCCAAAAAGGCAACGAAAATGCCAACAGTCGCCAAGAAACGTCGCACACCTACGGAGAAGACTATGCCCGACGTGAAGAAGGAGAAGAAATCAAGGAAAAATGACAAATTGGAGGATCCGAAGAGGAAGGTAGACAATGAGAAGAAGAAGTTGGAGAAGGCGGAGGAAAGGAAGAGGCCGGACGATAAGAAGAAGATTGAGGAAAAGAAACGATCCGAGAAGGTAGAGGAGAAGAAGAAACAGCTAAGGGACTGCGAGAAGAAGGCCGACAGAATTGACGAGAGGAAGACGGACAAGACGGATGATAAGGCGATGAGCGAAGAGATCGGCCACGAGAGCGCAGACAAGAAGAAATTGCAAAAATGTGAGGAGAAAGCGAAATTGGAGAAGCCATCTGTCGATAATAAGAAGAAAATTGAGAAAGTGGACGACAAGAAGAAGAGTGCGAAGTTGGACGAAGCGGACGCGGAAGATAACTCGAAGTCCCCAAGTACGACGGAAGATAAGGATGCGCTTGAAGATAAGACCGATGCTCTCACTCTGGTCAGCAAGAAAAGGGCCAAAGACGAGAAGAAGAAGGATGTGAAGCCGATGAAATCCGATGTAAAGTCAATATCAAAAAGTTCTACGGCCAAGGACAAGAAATCCGATCGGAAGAAGGCTCCGGAGAAAGACTCGGCGAGCAATAAGATTACCGTTGCCAAAGCGAGGAAGGATCCGAAAACGAAGCAGGTCAGCCAGAAGAAGAGCAGCAGCGTCGCGCGGAAAACAGTTTTAACGAAGAAGCCTCACTTGTCGGTGGTCAAGAGGCTGGTGGATAAGAAGATCAAGCTGATCAAGCCGATAAAAGACGAGGAGGAGGTGAAGAGCAGCGAGAGCGAGGACGCGACGAAGAAGACGACGAAGAAGAAGAGCGTCGCCAAGGGTAAAGTTATGCCGGAGAAGAAGTCGAAGCTGGGCAAGCAGATGAAAGCCAAGCTGCCTCCGAAACAGTCGAAGATCAGCGCCGTTCTGAAGAAGGAGGACAAGCTGAAAAGCATCACGGACAAGATCATGGCCAGGAGGAAGATCGAGCTGAAGGAGTCCGAGGAAGCGCCGGCCGAGCCCAAGAAGATGGCGAGCAAGGACGAGGTCTGCCAAGGGCCGGACACGAGCAGCATCAAGAGCGAGGTCGAGGAGGAGAAGGATCCGGACAAGAGTAAGGAAGAGAGCACTTGCGCGACCAAGTTGCAGGATAATAAGAAAGCGGTGAAAAGCGGCGTCAAGACGAGCGGTAAGCCGACCGGGAAGAAGACCGGGAAGGCGATCAAGGTACAAACGGAGAGCAATAATCAAACGTCGCTCGCGTCCGAGGAGACACTCTCCGAGGAATTGCACAAACAGTCGAAGCCGCACGAGGAGGGCGGCGCGAGGCCGGTCGTGAATTCCAAGCTGGAGCAGATCGGCGCCGAGAACAAGATCGAATTAGACCTAAAGGTCGAGGCGATGAATGGCGGCGAGAGCGCCGGCGGTGTTACGTCTCAATCCGACTCCGAGGGCGATTCCGACGACGAGTACAAGAAGAGCAGCAGGCCGCGGGGGGACGCGAAGAGCAAAGAGGGGACTAACTCGCCGTCGGACGAGCGCGCGCGGCGAATGCGACTTTTTGGCTTCTGGAGTGGACCAAAACGACACAGGGTCGCGTCATTGAATGCCTTGGCTAAAGTTCACTGCCTCTACGAAAACGAGACCGGTGGGGTTTATCTCGGCGGTTATTGCAAACCGAAGCCCGAGAAGGAGAAAGACAAGGAGAAGCCGAAGAAGATGAAGGAGGAGAAGGAGGAGCAGCAGCAGCCGCCACCGCCGCGTAAAGAGAAGGAGAAGAAGGTCGAATGCAAAACGGAGGAGAACGTGCTGAAGAGGAAACTGAGGAACGTGCCGGGTCTCCGCGGCAAACACTGGGACATGCTGGAGAGTTCGTCCTCGTCCTCGTCCTCCTCCGACGAGGACTGCGAGAAGGAGAAGAGCGCCGAGCCGAGCAAGAAAAAGTTGACCAAGAGGCGGCGGCGGAACGAGGAGGTGATGGACCTGAAGGACATGGTCGTTTGCAAAAGGATGGCCAGTCTTAATGCCACTGCCATTTTGGCTGCTTCCTACTCCGATGAGAAAAATCGTTGTGGTAGCAGCAGTGATTCCTCCAGCGAGTCGGAAGTAGAGATAATTAAGAGACGTAGACAAAACGACTCCGACGTAGATAAGAAGAAGTCCCGGCAAGGCTCCGATCCGGACGAGGTTATTAAGCCATCCAAGAAGGTTGTCATCGTTAACCAGGACACGGACGTCACCATCACCGGTAATTAATCACGCCCGGCTTAGGTGTGAAAATTCTAACGATCTCTTTCTCTCCTTTCCCCGCGCCCTCCCCTTCCTCACGATCATCAATTCTTTTCAAGGTGTTTACGTCAATCAGACTCGATCCACCCATCACGAGGGCTACTGCAGTATCGCCGGTATGCAGTACAGGATCAGTTCCACCAGCCACACTCAAACTGCTGCCACCGCGGTGGCCACGGAGCTTCACGATCAGGTGAGTTTTACGGCTCCTGTTCAACGATTCGAGACACAATGTGTGTTCGCTCCCTCCCTTTCTCTCTCTCTCTCTATCTCTATCTCGCTCTAGGTGAATATTCATTTTACGTGCACCCGCACGCTCGTACACGCGAAATACGAGTCATAACTCACACTGAAAGAATATTATAGTTATTTTCGGCGCCAAACATACCCTTTTTTATCCTAACAACAAAAATAACCAGGAAAACTATTTTTCTAATAAGTGTTACCATGGTTAGTAGTTAGCGATGATAGCCTTACATGCGTGTTGCTTATATTACACAGAAAAAAGGAATTGACTGTCTCGATGACTGAAATTTAATTACCATACTTGGTTTTTACTTTTTAGCTGTGAGAGCTAACAACTAAATACAAAAACAAAGAAATTAGCTAAATTAACGAAGTTTCGCTTATTTTTACACGATTTCTTCCATTATGTATTTCAGAATTTCTTCCATTATGTGGACAGCTAATTTACCCGTGGGAGCTAATTCTTTTTTATTTTTCCGTGCATGTTCGGCGCGGAAAATAATGAAAATTTCCTATCAGCTCCGTCCGACAATCGCGCGGGCGACTCTCTTCGAGACGAGTGTATTAACGTGTCCCCTCACGTGTTCTTCTTTCAATTTTTTCTCCGGTTAGCAAAAGCCGGAGCAGCCTTGCAAATCTTACACACCGCTGGGTGCGTTGTCTTCTATGCAGCCGCCGGGTAGCCAGGGCAATCATCCCAACATGTCACCTCGCAGGCACTCGGCGTTCTCGGCCCCTCATCAACATGGTGAGTCGAACGCAACACGTGTCCTATCCAGCTACATTTATTTATTAGTCGTGCGAAGCGACGGTGAATATCGACAACCGCGACGAACCTTCGAGGAGCTGTTGCGTCGCGGTGTGTGCGCCAGTACATCGCACATCGCGCGCTCTCCTCCCGCATTTTGAACTCGCTCGGTCCGACTTAAATCGCGCTTTAACGGCCGGCGGCCGTTCCCGTTGTTGTTTACGTAAATTTACACTGTTCGCCGTATATTAATGCGCGCCACGAGACAGCGGTATGTTTGCAAAACAATGCAAACGAGCCGCAATTAACGC